GTGCTTTTAAGTATATGTTTAATGGCAGCTTCTTTAGAGTCACCTCCCTTGGTTCGAGAAAAAGACATCTTTGAGCGAATGTTCAAGTATTGTGTTCAATGTTTGGATGTTTACATGATTCCATATCCGCAGCCTCCTTCTCGTGTGCAAGTACCGAATAGGTTATTAATCGATAAGTAGTCAACTGATTTTTATTACTGGTTCATATTTTAGTGTCCCTGGAGGCACAAGGTCAAAAGAAGAAAAAGATGCTCTTGACGCTTTGGCATCATTGGTATACTACCACTTTTGTTCTTTCTAATTGAACACTTAATCTTTGATGTTTCCAGTTTACTATGCTGAATCTGGATGTTTTTGGAGAAATTTTTACGAAATACATGGATTTCTTTGTTGTTCGCATGGCGAAGTAAGTTTCTGTAGCCGTACAGGGACATGCTTACTATCTTTGACGTAATTTATGGCCTATCATATTATGCAATCAGTGATTGTCAACAATGTGTTTCGTTATTCTAAGAATACTGCTAAGGAGGAGGTAGTCCACTTTTCTTGGAAAAAGCTTTTACCGGAAGTAAGGGTAGTTGAAGAGGCATGGTGCAGTATCTCAATCCTAAATGGCAAAATCTCCCAAATCTTATTAACAATTTTATTACAATATACCTCTCACTTAGTTTAACTGTAGCTACTACTACTTGTCTTCCCTTTCTTCTTCAGTTTCATTGACTTTTGTTTCAGAAATCTTCCACTGCAGCTAGCATGTAATGCCTTCCTAGTACGAGCAGATGTATCCTTCAGATTTGGTTGTATAATTGTCAAATACCTCATGGATAGACTTCCCTCTCTAGCAGGTGATCAATTTTTAAAGGTATCCGGAAGCTTTTAACATTACAGTCAGCTTTCATTCAGTGATGAACGACGTCTCTCAGCTGTATGTGAAGTTGTTCAAAATTATCTTCTCAGCAATTGGCTGCCAAAATTCTGCCAGTCCAGATGGCGAAATCATGTTAAAGGTTTGCTTTATTTCAGAGCTTCTTGGACAAAGAATCGCAAGCTTCTGCGATTTTTGTTAGAAAATCATCAACGTAAATGTTGAACTTCTTCTTTTTGCTTATAGCCATATCTACCTGAGTTGATTCGCAAGTCAATGGAATATGCCTTGTGTGCTCGAGATCCTATCAACTACTTTATGCTTCTGCGCGCGCTGTTTAGATCTATAGGCGGAGGGCTGCACGATATTCTTTACTCTCAGTTTCTTCCTCTCTTACCTGATCTCATGTTATTTTTCAACAAGCTACAGGTACATCCCGCTTAAAATAATTTGACACTTCAAAATTAATCTGCGATCTACGATTAACTTAGTGGTGCGATCACCGCCAGATGATGCGCGAGCTGTTCGTTGAATTATGCCTAACGGTTCCTGTGCGGCTATCTACTCTACTTCCACATCTCCCATTGTTAATGGAACCTCTAGTTTGTGCTCTCAATGGTGGACCGAATCTTGTTCAACAAGGTAAGATTTTTTCCTTTTGTTTATGAGGCGAAAGAAGTCTTCTCTAGGACTTCGTACACTTGAACTATGCGTAGACAATCTCCAGCCTGATTTCCTCTTTGACAACTTTTCACCTGTTCGTGGGGGTATGATGCAAGGTACAATTTACTTTCTATCGCTTTCAAATGATCAGTATACATATATAGTGTGGTTTCGAACACAATTTTTCCATCGATCAATTTAAGGACTCTACAAAGTTGTTGGAAAGTCTGGAGATCCTCTTTCCGTTGCAACTGCCGTAAGGGTTCTCGGGAAATTTGGTGGTGCTAACCGCAATATGTTTACGGAGCCCCCAGTAAGCCTTTTCATGTATTCGTACTCTCGGTTTTTTTCATGTTATAGTGTTCACCTCATCTTTCTTATAAAAGCCTAAGTTTGTATAGATTTTTTCTGTGAATCATATCTGTTTTCATAAAAGTCTATTACAAACCTTATAACAGTGATCTTACTCATTCACTTTGCAAAATAACTCATGGATTGTCTTTTAACGAATAAGTATATGCGCAACTTTTTCAAAGACCCTTAGTATATTGGTCTCATTATCTCGGCAGCTTAATACCTCTTTTCAAGAATCAATGGATGGACATCCATTTCTTGTGCTACTTGTTCATCACATAGCGTATTCTGTCTAAATCAAACTTATCTTCTTTTTTTGAAAGGGGCAGTTTTTTAAAACTGCCGCTTCACTGATTACTATGAATCTGGGGCATATTTTTAGAACTTGAAATTTCGTCCTGAGGGAGACGAACCTCCATACACTATTCGCGTAGCATTTGATCGACCAAACACAGGAGAGACATTCTTTACAACCATCTATGGTGATATCGCTCTCACTGAAATCGTTAGAACTGCGCTAAAGCAAATGCGGTTAGTGTGTGCTGTATCAGGAAATATGTAGCTCCCACAACAATGAAAATTTATCTTCTTAGGCTAGACTCTACACATTCTCACTACTCACCGCAAGTTCGCCACTATGCAATGGAGTTGGCACGCTCGGTCTTGCTTTGTAGCATCAGTCCCATTGATCTTACAGAGGAATGGAAAGCGAGGTTGAAAGACCTTTTTAAGGAGCAGTTTAAGGTGGGATGTTTATCGTTGTAGATTACCATTTGAGCCATAAAAGATCTCTCTGTTCATTTGTACATTTTATGAGATTAAGCGGCTGGACAACGCTCCCAAAGGATGCACGGCGTATCGATGTTCAAGAAAGGGCGATCGTTCCATTCACTCCGATGCGCTCATGATCTTATTCTGTCAGTTTTC